TGCGACTAATGGGGCTGTAGTAGGAAATGCGAAATTTCCGGGGCTATAATGAAATTTATTGTCCCAGAAGTATGTGGTGAATTTGTAGCTTCGTCTTCACAGCGTACATTTCCATCCCCCGTACTCCTGCTTCTGCCAAAAGCTAACGTATCGTGTTTTCAGCACGGATTTTGTTATGTTGCCGACTGCCACCCCCTTCTCTTCTAACAATTTGCTGAAACCGTCAAATAGAATAGCTGGTAAACCATTTACAGCTTTATTGATGTCCTCCTGATGTTTATACAATTCGATGTGCGGTGGGATGCCACTGGGGTCATCCATGGTGAACCATTCGTCAAGACGAGGTTGCGCAAATATACACTCACTTCGTCATTTTTGAAACTGTATGTAGACAGCAAACTATGGGTCGTTGGTAAACGGGATCGAATGTGATCGGCATGGTACACAAGTGATGCCATACAAAGGCTTAGTATTCCAGAGGAGTCAAAGATTATCTTTTGCTTCCGCGAGTTGTTGGAGAACAATAGTTGCGAATATCGGGTGGAGGAATCGTAGTGCATGTTCTCGGATTTCGAATTCATGTGACGCGTTGTGTTTCCATCCAAAGTGATTGTGAATCTTGCGATTTTGCAGGCGATGAACGGCGATACATCGGTGATGTGGCACCGCGTCAACTACCGAGCTATGGTAGAAGCTTCCACATCGTCTATCTGCTGTACAGACTACAGACGACAAGTGGCTACACTGTTTGTTTTCGCACCATCCCGACAGCGGGAATCAGCTAACAATGATAGGGAAGAATGGCGATTTGATCTATTGCACTGGAATATTTTATCGAGGGTGACGAATGACCTTTGGTTCCGTGTGATGGTTTTCGGTAGTACGTGTAATGAACAAGATGATCGGCTATAGGTCGTTGCTAGCATACCAGCAATATCAGATGACGTATGACGTGGAATATACAAGTGACGTTGAAACGAAAAGTAGTAATTGATTGTTGTTATCAGCTACACAAACTCAAAAATGAAGAAAGGAGCCGCCACCTATCCAATGTCACTCGCAGAACTTGGTCGTGGAGTCTGGGATGAAATGTCACGTGTTGAACTGGAGGAGCTACGCGAGTCTGGCTGGGGTTGCAAGCTCGGACGGCAGATGTTGGGGAACCCTGGCACGACCGCGACATTGTCACGCAGGAATTGGTCTCGAGCGCTCGAGATACGCTCAGTCGTTGCAATGAACTTTGGCAGGTTGGGGTGTGGTGTAGGGAATGCTGCGACCAATTCTCGATTGAACCTCTCGAGAAGATTGTTCGTGCGATTAATGACGGCATGACGAATGCCGTGAACATTTCAAATCTCGATGGGAAATTGCTCAACCCAGGTTCGCTGAAAGTAACCCCCAGAACTCTCTCCACCGTCCAGTCGAATACTGGATATCCTCCTCCGTGCACCGACGCTGAATATAACCGTTCTCAAATGCGACCCGCAAAGTTGCGACTTGAGTAACTGAAATTACCATAAGAATGTCTAGCGCTCCACGCTCCATGGCAATTTTTTCCTCTCCAATGCGCAGCTTTTTGATTCTGCGTCAGTTTGCTTGCTTCCAGTGGAACAAGCAACCGTTAATAGAGGTATTGGGCATCTGGTCTCAAATTGCAGCGATTAATGCTCCTTCGTAGTCGCAGGTGACAGACTCGGCATCCAAGTGATGGTCCGTTGCAACAATCACTAAGTGCAAAATGTTCCAGTAGACAGTGTGATTCCGTCCCGAGGCAACAATAAAAAACACTGGTACATAGCATCCAGTCGCTGCATGACACGTGACCATCATGCATTGGTGCAAGAGATGAGAGACACACCGGAAGGTGCCATCGATGAAGAGCTGTGTGTGTCGGTACCGCAGGAGCCTTTGGAGCTCAGGATGGGCTCAACCAATAATACTGTGCAACTCATCGCCCTCACGGATGCATAGTGGAACTGGTGGAAATTCATTCTGGCTAAACCGGAGACCAAGGCAAGTGGAGGCACCTCTATTTGGCCTTGATTATCACCGCCGTAGTGAAGTCTGCAAGTCCTATACACTCGGAGGTAACCGGCTCACAAGTTAATCCTACCAACGCAACGTGCTCCTGTCCAAGGTAGAACTCTCTGTTCACCGTTCTCCAAATTTCATCAGCGGTGGTAGCAAGCTGGGTCACCAAACGGTTGTCTACCCGCTCCGCCATTTGCTGTGTGATGTCCTTTGTTAGGCCAAACACGGGGACGTGTTTAGGTTGCACGCATGTATCGAAAGCCATTGATGGTGCCAGGACGCGACCCACTCGACGTTCCTTGTGGATGAGCTGTGGACCGTTGTTGTAGGGGTGTCGTCCTGGCTTTATTGGTAGGCATAAAGTGATCACCATCTGTGGTCTCAATGTGACCCACGTAATCGATAACATCGACGAACTCGCTTCCGATAGCGTCATCGTCAATTTGAAGCTGCTGGGCGTCAATATACTGGTGATGGCCCTAGCTGGATATTGCTGATGATGTAGAGGTGAATGAGGGCGATGACACCAGCATCAATGTGTTTAGCGTCGACGATGATGTTTGACCCATGAATTCAAACGATGCAAGGGAGCCCAGGGCGACTCGTCTTGGTCGGGAAATTGTCGTAGTCGATGGAGGAGGAGTGGTCAGACGACGATGGCGAAGACGCTGGCTTCTGCGGTTTGGTCATCTGCGTCTCACGGAGCAAATGCGAAGTGAAACGTCTTGTGTAAAGAACGGAAGCGGAGCCGTTGATGGAGAGGTTGTGGTGAAGGAATGGTGTGGAGGATGGCACAGTTTTGTTGGCTCAAACTAAGAATTTCCTCTGGGGAAATTAGAGGCTCTCGAGACATGTTGTCGGCATATTAAACTTGCAGTTTGAAGATATAGCGAAGTGGCTTGGCAGAAATTGCTGACTGCCCCTGTCCAGCTCGCTACAGTGCCTCGGACGACCGACTAACGGAGGGGGTACTCCGAATGTCTGCTGACGCTGAGGTTCTTCTCACCTTGTGTACCCGTCGGTGGAGCGGGGTTGCTCTCTTCCGGTGACTTGAGGATGCCTTGGTTGTCGATCTTGGGGACCGTATGGACGGTACTTGGAACTGTTGATTGCCGCGCGGATACTTCTTCATGCGGCTGTCGGGTATGGGATGTAGATCGGGTAATTGATCTACGTGTCCTTGTGTTGTGTGTTGTTTTCCTTTCCGTTGTTTGCCGCTTCCGATAGCGGGATCTTGAGGGGGGTTGGTGATCACTCCCTAACCAAGCGATCTAGGGGTTCTCGGTGTCTTCCCTTCGTGTGCGCTGGTGTCTCCTTGGTCATCAATAGGACCAATATACGATCCCCGCTTGGTATGGAGTGCCCCGTGGCTTAAGAAGAGAAGGGGTCCAATGGGAGAGGTCTAAAGAATATTCAGAAGTCTGCCTATCTCTCCCTAGCCTATCCGCACAGCCACTCATTCCTTCCTAAACTGTACCTACATGTGCCATAATCACAGCGTCCTTGCACCCATATCAGCCACATTCGTCTTGTACCAGGAACTGGGTACCTTCCTTGGAGATCTTCGACTTGCGATCTTTGATCTGTGATCCTTGGCCTGTGATCCCCAATCTGTGGCCCTCGATCTATGTTTTCTGCACTTCGATCGTCAACCTTCGATCTCCGATCTAGATCCCCTCCTCGATCCTCCGATCTTCGAGCTTCAACATTACCACTTGATCGATCTCGGCCTTGCGTATACCACGTAGATCAATCTTTGATCTTGGTCGATCTAGGTCGATCTTGACCAGATCGATATTGTGTGTGCCACATAGATCGATCTTGGTGTATGTCATACCATCATGATTACGCTCCACGTGATTACGCCGCATGATTACGGATACCCGTCCCATGTGGTCAATAATCAGGCGCCAACAGTCGCCACGTGGCACTGGGACACGTGGCATATTTTTGAAGAGTCGCTTCACCACAGCCTCCCCCTGCACCAGGTGCGGAGGTACAGCGTTCGCGCCTGGCGCACACTCTTGCGTCGTCCCCACGCACTGTCCACCTCCACCCATGCGTCCCCAGTGCCTCTGACTCGTGTACAAATGTCTGGCACTCGCATTCCGTGTAGATTGTCCATGTGTGACGTATTATATCGGTGTCTCGACTAATTTTATGTGTATTACGAACAGTACGAGATATTGCTGCATCCACTCATTGCCAATGTACTACAAAGTCATCCTGTGGCGTGTTGCATCGATGGTATCGGTTGCTACACGCTTGTTGGACGTTCGTTGATCTTCTGCAGACGTTAGGATTGTTTTGACAATAGTGTTGTTCGATCTTCGCTCTGAAGGCAGACACACCGTAGTGTATAAGGTTCGAGCTTGCTATGGAAGCGTTTGTTGATCTGCTGTTGACATGTTGTCATTCCTGGTGTCTCTGTTATCCGGGCAAGGTAAATTTGCGATCTTCTTCGAGGAGTCAATCTTAACCTGACAACTGTTGCTTGTTTACATTGGGTCAATGCATGTTGATCTTCACATTCCTACGTCGGTTTAGGCATCAGTCGGATTTGGATCCAGGTCCTTGGTTATCACGATTGTCTCCCAAACTGGCGTACGCCGAACGAACGTTGGCCTTAGATCTCAACTTGTTGTGACAAGAGCTTGGTCTTCAAGTTTAAATGTTCGTCTTCAAGTTATCATCGACCTTGAACCCCAGGTTTTGATCTAGTCCATAGCATCGAACTTCCGGCAGATCAACGGTCTTCATAACACGGCTGGACACGGTCATCTTCGAGAGCTTCAAGGTTTGTATCTTGATCTGTCAGTTTCACATCAGTTTCCGTAACACCCTTGATCACCCCATTTCTTTGCCTGTTGACTTTCAGGCATCTCACTCACCCTACAAATAGTACCCGTCCTCCAATGTGTGCGGCCACCCCGCACACTCTTCTTCTCTCCGCCTCCACCGTCTCTCGGTTACAGGTTGTCCGACGTCTCTTCGTGCGACATCATGACGTTGAACCGACTACGGTTCGTTTGAGTTCGTTCGAATTCCGCCAAGAGCGCGCCACAGTTGAGGTCGGCCTCGTCCACCCACGTGGGTTTGCGATAGCCTCTCCAAAACATTTGGAACTCTCGGTGTACGCGGCCATATCGCGTGCGGCGTTCAGATCTCCCGTCGGCGATCCGTTCCACCTCGAATTGGTCCTCGCCCAAAGGAGTATCCCAGCTGTCCTCCGGAAGTAGAGCTTCATCGAAGTCGACTCGATCTCCTTCCTCGACCAGCAGGGTGCAAGTTGGTCGGTCGGGGAACGCCTTCACCAGCTTCAACTTCGACAGGTGCACCACCGGTATTCTGTTCCACTAGTCTCCACACGTGCCGCATGACCACCGATGAGCTCGGTCACACGAAAAGGGCCGTGCCACATGTGGGCCAGTTTCCTCGCGAACCCTTCCTTCACCCGGTCCAGGTAGAGCCATACTTGTGATCCTTGCTCGGTCTTGTGGGGCCTAACTCGATCGTTATGTTGGGCAGCTCTGGCTTCTATCGCCTTTCGGAGATCGTTATTCACCACTTCTCTCGCCCGTTGATATTGCGATTGCAGACGATACCTCCACAGGCGGGCGTTGCTGTCTTTCCGCCTTATGGATCCAATTGGAAGCGTCGCTTCCAGTGTTGATCTTGCGTCCCACCCATGCACCAGATAATAGGATGTGTCTTCACGCACTCGATCTTGCGCCGTGTTGAGGGCAAACGTCAAACGTTCGGCGTAGTCATCCCAGTCCTGTTGGTTGACATCGGAGACATACATCTTCAGCGCTCTCGTCAGTGCTTGCACCGTCCGCTCGGCTTTTCCGTTACCCTGCGGGCGGTAGGCCATGGTAGGACTTTGCTTCATCTTCACGATCCGATTAAACGCGCGGAAAAAATCTGCAATGAATCCCCGTTCCCGATCGTGCCTGATTATTTCACTTGCCCCGAACCGCCTGAAGACACATTCCTCGTAGTTTTCCGCCACCGGTTGGGTTTCCCGCGATTATCCAGCCTTGGCGATCGCGTATCCGGTGAACAGGTCAGCCCAGATCAGTAACTCCGTGTTCCCTTTAAAGGACTTCGGTAGCGACGGAATGTGGTCCATGGATATGACCTGGAACGGGTATGTGCCTTGCACATTCCCCGGTGATCTTCCTTGATCCGTGGGTTTCCCTTTCCCGGTCTTACAATCTGTGCATTCCTCTATGTAGCGCTGAACACTTCGGTACAGATTACGCCAGAGAAAACTACTTCGCCAACCGGACCATCTTGACAACAACCAACGCAGTGGTTCACAAAATCGCGTCCGGATTCTACGGTATGTCCTCCCGACACCCTGGTGGCCTCCTTCCAGGCTCGTGTGGTAGTGGTGGAGGAAATCCTGTTGCAAGCTTTCCGGCACCACCAGTCTGACGACATCGTCGCGATCTTCGTCTCGTGTCAAGGTCCTCGGGCAATAAATAACAGTCTATCTTTGTCGACTTCATACGTTGCGACGATTTTTCGAGCACGTCTTCGCATCTTCCTTCGATAGACCGTTCAGGTCACACGCCTTTAGATCTGCGATCCACTTCTCTTCGTCTTGTGCTTGCTTGATCCGCTGACTCCGTATACGTCGAACAATAGAATCATCTATCGCTGCCGGTGGCGGAATCCGATTTACGGCAGATCGGGTGACCGCGTTCACACGGTCACTGATCTGGTTGACCTCGGTTGCATTATTTCGTGCAATCCGTTCAGCGTGATCAAGTCCTGCCGTTCTTCCTCTGCTGTCACGATCTCGCCTTATTCACGTTGCAAGGCGGCACTGGCGAGCTTGTCGGCACTTCGGTTCCAATCTCGCTTTACGTGCACGAATTCGTGCTTCGGCCAAGATCGCAGTTGGTTCAACGCCTTCTGACGTAGCAGCTGCAGACCTGTCGTCTTACAGTCGATCTCGCCTCTCATCTGGCGGATCACCAAGTTGGAGTCACCACAGAACACGACTCGCCCCCTGGCTTGAGTCGAGAGTAGATCGAAACACAGCAGCAATCCCCTGTACTCCGCCTCGTTCACTGTCAAATCAGGCATGTGATCAGACATCGCTTCGAGGATCGTCCACTCGGGAAGTTTCCATAGAATCGCGCTGTATGCGCCTCCTGCACGCTTCACTCTCGCTGATCCATCAAAACTCGCCACCAACAGGCTCTCCTCCGGTTCTACGGTTGGAATCATGGCGATCATCTTCCGGGGTTGCTTCGTCGGGGCTATTGCGATTAGGGCCTCGTCAACTTCCGCTCGAGGGGTGATGCTCGCAGCGATCGCCCCTAGGATTTCCTCCTCGCCTTTGGAACACTTCGTGATTTCCACCTTCCACCCAGACAACAATGCGGCCCACCTGCCCAAACGCCCGTCTAGCCCATTCGACTTCAGGAGCCAGGCTAGCGTGGAGAAACGCGATAGCACCATGATCGATCTGATGACCAACTGCGAGTAGCAGACGTCCAACATGCGAAGAAGAGCCAGGACCTCCTTTTCTACGAACCCATAGTTCAACTCGTTTGCCTTCAGCGTCCGACTGGTGAAGGTTACTGGCCAATACACGCCGCCGTGTTCCTGCATTTGTGCCGCCGAGATCGCCCACTTGTTAGCATAGAGGACTATGACTGGCGCCCTCCCCGGATCGAAGTGCTTCAAGACCGGGGTGGAGATGATCTTCACTTTGAGTATGGTGAACGCATTCATAGCTCGTGTCCAGCGATCGCGTTCCTCGTCCGCTGGTGCTGTCCCTTCCTCCGGCTCTCCAGTCGATTTCAACCGTGCGATCTGGTAGTAATCTATTTCCCGAAGCTCGTATAAGATCGCTGCATAGACTGCAAAATCCTCGATGAAGCGGCTGTAGTAATTCAGGCTTCCAAGGAACGACTGCATCAACTTCAGTCTGGTGGGGAAAGGGAGATTCGAAAATGCTTCAAGGTCCTTCGGCTTCGCTTCCAACCCGTCTGTCGACACCTGGTGTCCCAATAGCTCACTTTTGCGCCTGGCCCAGTAGCTTTTGGCTACGCTGATCGATAGGTTCCAGCGATCGCATATGTCTAGCAGAATTTCAACCTTGTTGCATATGCTGTCCCACGTGCCTCCAGTCACGAGAATGTCGTCGACGTACGATCGCCGTACCAAGATCGACGGCTTGGGTTCTGGCTCGGGCTCTCCCTCCTCGAACACATCGACTGTCTTGTCTTGGCCGGGCTTGATGCGCATGTGCCCATATAGGGCATTGTCTACGATCCGCTTGTAGATCCGCGGAGCGTTTTTCAGACCGAACGGCATCCTCGCCCACTCGAATAACCCGAATGGCGTCATGAATGCTGAGATCAATCTCGCCCGCGGCGTCATGGACACGACCCAGAATCCACTCGCCATGTCTAGGGAGCAATAACAAAGCACCTTCGAGAAGATCATTGATCAACGGCATCGGGTACACCATCAGCCTCTTCAAGCTGTTTAACACTTGGAAATCGATGCAGAGGCGGATATCCACGCCGTTGGCATTGATGATGACCACTATTGGTGACGCCCAAGGTGAGATTGATGGAGCGATGATCGTCGCCGACAGCAGTTCCTTGATGAGCATGGATAACTTCTCATGGAACTGTGGAGCTACTCTTCGGCAATGTTGTGCAACCGGTTTCGCGTTCCCGACGTCGATATCGCAGATCGCCCCATGCGCAGCGGCGGGGGACAGTGCTTTTCCAGCTCCGATCAAGAGGTGACGCCGCTTCCATATGATGCGACGTAGCCGTTCGCACTCTTCCGGCGTCGCATCCGGATCTTCCACCCGGATATCGTCTATCGTGACTTCTCTCGTGGTGGTCTCAACTTCCGGCAACACCGCCATGTGGTTCTCGATGTCTTCCGGGAAGATGTATCCGCCCTCGTGGTAACAGACGGCGTCATCCATGTCGTCGTCGGCTTCCCTGTCCGGCTTTACCAGCGCTTCCGCTGGTCCGATCTCCTGATCTGGATTACCTGTCTGATCTCTCGGCTCGATCTGTTCCTGGTCTACTTTCGTGTCTTTCGTGGAGACGTGATCTGCATCATCCGGCTCAGGTTTTAGTGGTTCGCCTCCTGCCGCCGGTTCTTTGATCTTAGTCTCCACGCAGGGTGATGGTTGGATCGACATCAGCCTCCGCGGTTTCGGCTCCTTCTTCAAGATCTCTGTTAGTGCGTTGTAATGTGGTCTGTCGACCAACGGTTCAGCCACGACTTCGTCCGAGTCCTTTATCGGTGTTTCGTCGGCAGTGGTTTGGAACGCCAGGTTCTGCCATTCTGTATATCGTCGTGATCCGACTGAGACGTATCCTGAGGTCCGTGGTACGTGACCCCCTGCCAACCAGATTCCGATACGGGTGTCGCGTTGCAGCGTTATCGGTTGATTTGACACGTTCGTGATCCGTAGGTACTGCGTCCGGCCTAGACCTCTAACCACCATTGGGACCATCGATCTCCACGTGTGACCCACAACTTCTGCTTATCCGACAGTGATCCCCGGACAGCGACCTCCACGGATCCTGCCACTGGAACATTACCGTATTGGTCGAACGTGATCAGTCTCGAATTTCCGCTGAAGATCTGCCGTCGCCCAGATAGCTGGATGTGTACCTCGTCTGAGAGGCACAATGACCCATCGGCCAGATCGAGACGGATGCCTACCCGGGCCATGAAGTTCATCCCCAAGATCGCCTCCTGACCCGACAAGTCGCCGACCCATGCATCGAAGTAGTATACGTATGCTCCTGCGAGCGTGATCTTGATACGGGTACGTCCTTCGGTCATGTATGCGTTCTCTCCGATCCCCACGCATTCTTGCCTCTGACTATTGTCTATAGTGCATCCCACCTTACGAGCAAAGGTAGAATCCACAATTGAGATCGCATTCTTGTCTCTGACTATTGTCTATAGTGCATCCCACCTTACGAGCAAAGGTAGAATCCACAATTGAGATCTCCGCGCCTAAATCAAAGAGAAGTGTGGCCCTCTCGTTGTTGATCTTGGATGTAGACGTGGCTTGTTTAAACCACTTGCCGGGAGCATGGTACTTCCAGTATCCTCTGGACTCCCCTGGCAGCAGATCTAACTCCATGACCACATCTATGCGGGAGTAATCGTCCTTCCGCAAGTTCGCAAAGGTAGACCGCTTGTACAATTCACATGTATTGTCGATCTGCTTACTAGCCTCCGGTTTCTCTCGCTTCTCGACGTAAGCAAAAATGCATATCTCAGAATGCTCGGCTCGTACCAGATTCCAACCTGGCGAGCGTTCTAATTTAGCATCTTCTCCGCATTCGCTGGCAACATTCCTGCGTGTTTGTTCGGGACATACCACTGGCGGATCAGATTGTAGAATTCCTCCATTTGGCACTTCCCGGAGTCGTGCATCTCTCCGCATGCGTGACAGACGAAGAGACAGTGGTCGGATGGGTGCCCCTTCCGCCCACTCTTTTGGCACGTCAGTCGCTTCCAACATCCCAGATTGTCGTGCTTTGTGGACCCGCAGTGGGTACAGTTCTTCTGCGACATTGTGGTATGGTCGGGGGTTGTCTTGGAGTCGGTGCTTGGATTCCCCGCTCCTTCGATTCCGCGAGGTACATCCGACGGCACTCGTCGTTTTGCTCCGATCCGCTTGCATCGGACTCCGACTCACTGCTGTCTTCGGCCTTCTGGATCGCTCGCACGGCTCGCGTATTCTTCGCCGGCACGGGCTGGTTTTTGGGCATCGACTTCTGGAGGAATTTGTTTAACCCCGCATGGGCTTTGCCCTGACGGGCCTTCGCGCACTGGCGGGCTCGTAGAGTTTTTTCCAGATCTTCCGCGTCCGTTAACCGAAGCAGCGCCAGTTGATCGGCCAGATCACGATCATCCAGCGTTTCGATGAAGTGATCGACATGTTCGCGTCGAGTGGCCGCTGAGCCATCCTTGATCTGCAGCCTCGCTTGCTGCCGGCTAAATTGATCGGTGGAGGTACTCCATGGGCGACTCGTCCGACCGCTTCTACGCGTGGTAGTACTGCCTCGCGACAGATACTCCTCTCCCGCAGTATTGCGTCTGGAAAGCTTCCAATAAGCTTTTCCAATTGCCTCGGGTTGATCGGCTCAGCTGTCGATACCAATTGCGCGCTGGACCGGTGAGCAGATCGCCCAGCACCAAGCACTTCTCGCTGTCTGGGGCTTGATCTCGGACAAACGCAGACTTCACCTTGCCCAGCCAGCTTCTCACACGATCTTCGTCCTGGTCTTTGCCAGAGTACTTCTTCCGCGGGTACTTGGATCCGGGGCGTCATCGTCGATGAAGTGGAAGTCGGTCCTGCGACTGCTCCTGCGGATGTGACTACTGCTTGTCGCGGTGTATCGATGCTCAAGTTGTCTGGGTCGTATTCGTCGTGTGAGTCGTGGTACGACTCGACGGACTCCATTTCCACATCTTGGGCATTCTGGTCCGTTCCACCCGCCGTTGACTTCGATCCTCCCATTTGGTTCTCCTTGAGGTATCGATTCATCGCCGCGTTGAAGAAAGTCTGCATCTGCTCGGGACTTCGTGCTGGTGTTACGGCCGGCGTCGACTTGCGTGAAGATCGTCCCGACTTGGCGATAGCCTGACGTTCCTGCAGCATCGCTGCTCCTGACGGGCCAAGAGTCATACGCTCCAGATCAACCGAACTGTCTGATCCGGCTTCGGACGTAGCCGATGCGTATTGTGACGACCCTGTTTGGTACGCCGGCATCGTCCGAGATTCGCCCAGCACTCAGACTTTGCGTGTATTCTGCTTCACTCAGCAGCGTCTGCGGCGATACACCTTCCGCTGACGCCTCAATCCCTTGTTCCAACTTGACCTTGGTGGCATCTTCCTCGGACTCACGGTGAAATTCCTGTGAGTCACCAGAAGATCCGGGCACGCGCACCATTGTAGCGAAGTGGCTTGGCAGAAATTGCTGACTGCCCCTGTCCAGCTCGCTACAGT